ATTATCTTGTGTACGTTTCTCTTGAAAAAAATTACTGATATCAAAATACACTTCAAATAAGTTAGAATGTACATATTAATATATATAATATAATTTATACATTAAACATATATATTTAAGATACTCTGTCTCATATATTGTCAAGAAATTAATATCGTTAATAATTAGTAATAGTTAATCAGCAGTTTCTTTGCACATATATTTGTATATTTGTATTACAACTGTCTCTTATACACATCTAGATGTGTATAAGAGACAGGATTGTAGTTGTCGTTGTTTCATGTTAAATGCAAGAACTTTCGGTTTTATACTATAGTATCTGTCTCTTATACACATCTAGATGTGTATAAGAGACAGGATTGTAGTTGTCGTTGTTTCATGTTAAATGCAAGAACTTTCGGTTTTATACTATAGTATCTGTCTCTTATACACATCTAGATGTGTATAAGAGACAGGATTGTAGTTGTCGTTGTTTCATGTTAAATGCAAGAACTTTCGGTTTTATACTATAGTATCTGTCTCTTATACACATCTAGATGTGTATAAGAGACAGGATTGTAGTTGTCGTTGTTTCATGTTAAATGCAAGAACTTTCGGTTTTATACTATAGTATCTGTCTCTTATACACATCTAGATGTGTATAAGAGACAGGATTGTAGTTGTCGTTGTTTCATGTTAAATGCAAGAACTTTCGGTTTTATACTATAGTATCTGTCTCTTATACACATCTAGATGTGTATAAGAGACAGGATTGTAGTTGTCGTTGTTTCATGTTAAATGCAAGAACTTTCGGTTTTATACTATAGTATCTGTCTCTTATACACATCTAGATGTGTATAAGAGACAGGATTGTAGTTGTCGTTGTTTCATGTTAAATGCAAGAACTTTCGGTTTTATACTATAGTATCTGTCTCTTATACACATCTAGATGTGTATAAGAGACAGGATTGTAGTTGTCGTTGTTTCATGTTAAATGCAAGAACTTTCGGTTTTATACTATAGTATTTTAAACAGTAAGTAATATAAATTATCTGCTTTATCTTATTCGATTGCACATGTAAATTAGGAAATAAAATATTTCATTCGTTGCAATAATTTAAACATTGTTTCATTTTAAGAATTCCGAAAATAGGGGAATTTTATTTCGAAATCTATCTATATCTTTCCGTTGAATTGATTCTTGTGCTTGCAGGCGACGAATTTATATAATTAAGAAATAATCATATTTAAACAACAAATTCATTTCGCCAAATATTACAATTTCTTACGCTACAATACTATTTCTACGTTAACTTCAGTATCATTAACAAAAAGTATTTTGAGTATCTAGAATGCGAGATTGTAATATTTTATTTTATTCTTCAGATTATTAATAAATATAAATATTTTATTTCTTAAAATTTTGTTTTTTATCTAATTATTATTTCTCTACTTTTCATCTTCACAAATAAAACAACTATCACTTGTAGAAGTAATAGAAAAGATGTTTCGATTTCTTCACACATTTTTGGAAATGAAATAAGATATTTGGAGATATTCTGTGCAAAGGAAGAAGATTAATTTACCGTACGTATAGAAAATCGTGATTAATCTCTTGACAATTTTGATAGTTTGTCGAATACTTCTAAGCGTGAATTATAGTAATATTTCTTTATATTTTTCATTTCTGGCACTTATAGGGGATCCAATTTTCGAAGTAATAAAGGATGTTCAACCCGATACTGAATTAGTGGCTTGGTTCCTTCCTACGGCAGAACAAGACTTCGTTTTCATTTCACACGATATGTGTTCGAGGTCCGCTTTGTACAGATGCACGATCGACTCTATTTTAGACGGTGAGTTTATCCAAAAGTTTCGAAGCATATTCGACAATTACGGAAATACACGAGCAAGTTTAACGCTTTGCACTCGAACAACAACTCTGAAGCGCTACTAAACACGAGCCACACAACTCGCTATAATTTTGACATTACTAGATTTGTTTGTACTTGACAATTTGCTAGATGTTTAGAATGGTAATATAAAAATTCCGCGATATTTAAAGGAACATTTAAGAACAGAATAACTTTCACTATTTATTACTTTTACAAGTACATAGACAATACAGTATTGAACTTTCTTTTCAAGACTTTCAATTAAAGTGTGAATTATACAAAGTTAAACTCACAATGGCAACATAAAAATTTAAATGATATTTAAATTAATTATTAATTAATTATGTTAATTTAAGTATATTTTTAAATATATCACTAAATATATTATTAAATATATTAATTTCCATTTATGCATACATAAAAATTATTGTCCACTACAATGCAGAAATTACATGATCGTTTAAAGAGTTTAACCAAATATTATGTAATGATATACATTATACTTATATAAAACGTTTTAAAATATAATAAGAACTGTCTTGAAATCATTGTAACTACAATTAATAAATTGCATTTAGTGTATCAATAAAAGATTATTCGTTTAGCTCTTTATAGACCAAATTTTTCATATAAGTATAAATTGGTTTATGTAACTTGAAACCAAGAAATACCAATTTTTGCAAATGAATCAACAAATTTAAATGGATTAAATTTTCTCCGAATCCTCTCGAGTGTGCAGGAGAAATAACAGAACAAGATATTGTTGCAACATCGTGGCTAGAAATGAAATTAGTCTAGAAACCATAATAAACAGGTATGCGACTTGAAATTCATACCGAGCCACAGAGAGTTCACTAAAGAATGCAACTATTTCGACAGTTTCGAACGGTAATGCAATTGTTTATAAAATACAAATTGACACGAAGAGACGTACAATTCGATCCGTAGATGGAACAAAGAAGGACGCGACAATCTGATTTTTGGTAATCGCAACTATTCCCGGGTGCAATCGCGTTAATCGTCACAATCGCTGGGCAATTGAAAAAGAAAGGAGACGATTGACCGAGAAATTTGAAATGCAAATATGGGCCGGTACTTTTGTCGGCTAGATCAGAAGATGCTTGTTCGTTCGGTCATGATTCAAATGCGTAGACCCCCGCGCTTACGAAGAGATAAAGGACAGTACAATGCCACCGAACCTTCAATTCTGAACAGAGGCTCGCCGCGGCGAACGAAAAGAAGAGTAGGGAATGGTTAGGGGCTGAAGGCTGGGCGGAGACAGGGAACGGTTGCCGTGGTGACGAGGGATCGTTTGCCAGAACAAGTTTTATAAGAAACAAAAGAGAATTAGCGCTACTATACAAAGTGCGACAAAAACTATAACATCCGAATATGTTGAATGATTTTTTTTTCTTGTCGACGACATTTACGGATTTTCGAACTTTTCTTCCATCTTATGTGTCAACGAACAGTGGTCCAAAAATCCGCTTTTCGTGGCCAAGATTCAATTGCTCAAATTTAATACGTTGAACACATTTTTTTATATAAATTGGCAACCCTTGCAAAACATTATACATTTCATATTGTTCTGCGATGAAATACGGCGTTCTAAAAACAACATCATAAAATTCAGAATAAAATTAAATGTATTATACATATACAATGTATACATATGATATGTTAATATCGTATTTTGGAGAATAGTACTCTTTCATATGACTCGTTTTGTGAGACAAAATATTTCATTGTGGCGTAGTCTATACACATGCATCTAACAGCATACACAGTGATATAAGAATAATTATAAACCCAAAGTAACTTTTACATTGTTACCGATACCTAAACGAAAACTTAACGAAATATTATATTTGTACATTTCTATTTTCTATTATTCCCAATATAGAAATATAGAAATATGATATTTTGTTAAATTTGTTTTAAATATACAGGATGACTCAGTTAAAAGAGACCACTTACAGTGCTGTGAATAATTATAAATTCAAAGCATCTTACACATTTTTCACAGATATTTAAGCAAAAACCAAGAAACAAACAATATTTGTATATTTCTGTATTATAAATAATAGAAAATAGAAATATACAAATATGATACATCGTTAAGTTTTTGTTTAAATATTACTAAAAGCGTAACAGTATCTTTGAATCTATAATTATTCGCATCACAGTATTAGGTATCCTAAATATTTTTACTTACAAATTAAATCGGATGAAAGAGGACTATTCTCCGAAGTTGCAAAGTTGCGATTCTCCAACATTAATGATTCCATATGGAATCATGCCAGCAGTCCAATAATTAATGATGGTTTGATATAGTTGGTTACGAAAATGTTCGTACACTTTTTAAAACGGAATAACCTTTCCCAACATTTATCTTAAATGTAACACGTAATTTTTCAAATTCTGGTTCAAGAATCTCCGTTAGATTTGTCCATGGCACTGCTCTCTCATCATTCGCCAGCCGCAATTCCACACCCGTACTATGAAGTCGATGAATACGAGTCAACATCCGAAGAGTCTTCTTCGTCGACATTATCCTTAACGGGGGATCACTTGGACTGTAGTATTTTGACAACGATCAAAAGGGGCGAGAGGGTACTGCTGCCGTGTGAAGTGTGCGGAAAGTCCTTCGACAGACCTTCTCTTCTGAAACGTCATATGAGAACGCACACAGGTACGCAACAGTACAAACCAGATACGAATAAATACTTAGAATATTGTCCGGTTTCTGTCAGCCTCCGATTTGTTTTTTAACCTGTTGAGAGGGTATTGCGGTCTTAAGTGCCATTTTTAAAACAATTTCTAAGAATTTTTTTTTAAATCATTATTCACCTTTTTCAATTAGATTTTCGCACAGACCTTTATGCGAATTTAAAGTACTTAATGAATTATTTTAAACTAACAGTAATCAAAATTGTGTGAAATATATTCCATTTTATTATTATTAATAATATATATTATTATTCCAAAAGATGAGAAATCATCTTGATTATAAGTTCGGCTATAGTCTGAATCAAGATAGTATAGTAACCTTGTTTATTGACAAAACGCTAGCACTTTGAACAGAAATTATCGCTTATTAAAATATTTGTTTCTCTTTCGTGTGTTAAAAAAATAAGAAAATAGCGATGCATATAAAAAGTGTTGTTTCATTTTCAAGTCAATTGATCGACTATTTTTTAATTAAATAATTTTTTTATGAGCTATAATGCTATACCAATGAAAATACGCCAACCTGTTAAAAACAAAAGGCCGATGATCTTAAAATTTTGCATAATTTACAACGTAATCTTTAGAACAAAATTTTTTCCACTTCGATAATTGGCTCTCGGACGAAAGCATTCTTTCTTCAGACATTTTCCCATGTGATTAAAAAGTGCTCACCATAAAATGCTATGCAATTTACCATGTGTAAGTACAGATCATTTTAGATGTTTTCTGGTCGTTGAAAATTGCTCGTCATAAAATGCTAGGTGATAAACACTGTGCGCGATTATGCGCAATATTAATAATCTGAGTCCCAGCCTTCATATTATTATATTTCAGGAGAGAAACCGCATGTTTGTGTGGTGTGTAATAAGGGTTTCTCAACTTCGAGTTCCTTGAACACACACAAGCGGATTCACAGCGGTGAAAAACCTCACCAGTGTCTTGTTTGCGGTAAGAAGTTCACGGCCTCATCAAACTTGTATTATCATCGCATGACTCATATTAAGGTAAGTTTGGAAGAACTACCTCTGATAAGAAACCCTGTAGAATAGATGACCCAGTTTCCGTGCCCCTAGATTAAAAACGTATCAAAAAAGAAAAGTCTTATACATAAATTCATACTTCTCCCTGAATGTTACACCTTGATAGGTAAACATAATAAAAAAATATAGATCATCAATTTATATATAAAACTTTTCTTTCACTATACGTTCTTAATCCGGAAATTGTGACAGGCACGGAAACTGGGATATCTATTCTATACATATATCCTATATATATATATATCCTATAACTCCAAGGCGAGTTATCCAGATGTCCAATTATTTTAGAAAAACTAGCAATTCAAAGTTACAATATCCGATCTCCTATCAACAAATGTAGTGTAGTTACAGTGTGTCATTCGCTCGGAAAATTTGGTATTCGTTAGAAAATTGGAGTCAAAGTCTGTCATAAGTAGATCTGAAAATGATTTTAATGAGTTAATTGATTCCGACAAATATATTCGTCGAACACGCAAAATGTTGCAATTTCTATATGACGAGTGTACTCGTCAAAAACAGCTGATTAAAATTATATATTTTGTAAAAGTGTTCTACGTAAATAAAATATGAAAAAGAAACAAATGTATATAGCGCAATTGTAGTAACTGGCACACTTTTCAAAGAGATTCGCAAAAGCTAACTGATTAAATTATTTTCTTTATATAAAATTTTATGTATAAAATAGAAAAGAGAAGATTAGATCTTGATTCTAATGGTGGAACATTTTTATCTATTCCTCTTGTGTAAAAAAATATATTTATTTTTTTACTTATTGTATATTTACACTGTACACTGTTGCGTATATTCTACATGCACAGTATTATACAGGGTGTTCCACAATTATTTTAACAGCCGAAAATGAGGGGTAGCTGAGGTCATTTGAAGTAACTTTTTCCTTTGCGAAAATACAATCTGCGGCTTTGTTTACGAGTTATTAACGGAAAAAGATGTGTATAAGAGACAGGGATATATATATACAGGGTGTCCCACAATTATTTTAACAGCCGAAAATGAGGGGTAGCTGAGGTCATTTGAAGTAACTTTTTCCTTTGCGAAAATACAATCTGCGGCTTTGTTTACGAGTTATTAACGGAAAAAGATGTGTATAAGAGACAGGTATTGAACAAATCACGAAGCGAGAGCTTCCGGATTTTTTTTTACTACACGGAATTATTGACCTTGACATAACCTTGACATAATCTTGATATAACCTTGATATGTCAACGTTATGTGAAGGTCATGTCAAGGTTATGTCAATTTTTAAGATATGTCAAGGTTATTGATAATATTCTTCATATTTCTCTAACAAACATATCCCTTACGTCCTTTAACACGATTATTATTTATTAAATTAGCTTGGCGAATCATTCGTTAAACTGTGTTCGGACACGAAATTATTTAAATNTCATTCGTTGAACTGTGCTCGGACGCGGAATTATTGACCTTGACATAACCTTGACATAACTTTGATATAACCTTGATAAAACCTTGATATAACCTTGACATAACCTTGATATAACCTTGATATGTCAAGGTTATGTGAAGGTGATGTCAAGGTTATGTCAAGGCTATGTGAAGGTCAAGTCAAGGTTATGTCAATTTTTAAGATATGTCGAGGTTATTGATAATATTCTTCATATTTCTCTAACAAACATATCCCTTAGGTCCTTTAACACGATTATTATTTATTAAATTAGCTTTGCGAATCATTCGTTGAACTGTGTTCGGACACGGAATTATTTAAATTAAAATATCATTTACGTACTTTGTTAATCTTCACTGTACACCTTGCTTAAAAATTTCATATGTGACACACCAGGTGTCATGCACACTAGAAAATTAAAACGGCCGTTACGGTTAAATTACTTAATATTTCGGGTCAGAAAAATTAGTAAATATTCTTCAGACGTTCTAAAGTGAAAAGGTGAACAGCGTTTTTCTTAAAAATATTACTGTTACGTAGTAAAAAAAAATCCGGAAGCTCTCGCTTCGTGATTTGTTCAATACTTCGAATGCGGCTCGAGTCCGTTCCGACTATATGTGAAAGCCTCGTGCTGCGGGCTCTCGAACTTCGCGCCGTCACCTCTCATTGGTCAGTGTTTTCCGTTAATAACTCGTAAACAAAGCCGCAGATTGCATTTTCGCAAAGGAAAAAGTTACTTCAAATGACCTCAGCTACCTCTCATTTTCGGCTGTTAAAATAATTGTGGAACACCCTGTATAGTTACTTCATAAACATACTATTATGCCTATCAATGCATTTCTAATTTTATCCATTTCTCCATCTGATGTAGGAAAAGTTAAAAAGGAGATTTTTCATTTTTCAAATTTGTACCATACCCCTCCTCCAAAAATATTAGGACACTAACAGAAAATGAAATAGATTTGAAAAACCGATAGGAAATTCTTATAATTTCTTCAATTTATTTCAAACTTAATTTTATAAAACAGTATTATGAAAATGAAGTCAATTTTACAAAAGAAAATTAAATTTTCTTTTCGTCAGAGTATATCCATTTTTTTAATTATTCCTTGGGCTAATTTCGACATCTGTTTTATTATTTCGTCTATTATTTTTGTTTCTATTTGGTTCCATGTATTTTGTACTATGTTCCACATATGTAGAAAACACATAGGGAAACAATGCTGTTGTTATTAATAATGTTATTAATATGTGTGTATTCAAAGTTGAAAATACGAGTTGTACAGTGTGAACGTGTACAATTTACTAACTTGTCACTGCATATGTATAATTCATCACTGGAAAAATATCTTCACGTTTTACAGGAAAAGCCACACAAATGTTCTCAGTGTTCGAAATCATTTCCAACGCCTGGAGATCTCAAGAGTCACATGTACGTACACAATGGACTATGGCCATTTAGGTGTCACATTTGCAGTCGGGGTTTCAGTAAACCGACCAATCTTAAAAATCATATGCTACTGCATCTCGGCAGGTGTACTAACAAGAAGATCGTTAAATCTATTTCCGATTATTAACAAGTGTAAAGATATTCTCGTAACTATAGGTCATTCAGCGAAGATGTCGAATCTTCCTATTATACATATATCGTGATAACTAAATTTATTCCTTTAAATAATTATTTAATAAAATTATTTTCCTAAATTAAATGTTATTCCCCCTGTTTTATTTATATCGATATGCGCGAGTAACAATTTAAGAATGAGCATATACAAAAAATGGTACATAGTAGGTGTATTATTATAATAATAGTTGTTAACGCTTCGACAACGAAGACAATGTACATGTACATATATAAGTTAGGCGAATCCTGCATAATAATATGGTTCAAGAAACCCGAGCGGGCGAAGAGCTCTATGTTATGAATATTTTTATTTCATATGTACGAATTTTTACGACCATGATGTTTCAAATGTTGTAAAGTTGTTGAGCATCGTGTGGATTCAGCGTCTTAAGTGTGTAATTATTCACGGCCATAGTCGTACCATAGTCGAACGTTACTTCACGTATAAATTGTTAAAATATTCTAGGACATTTATAATTAAATGTTCCACTTGTAAATGAAGTTTTCATTTCTGAAATACAACTACAATATTTCCTTGAACAGATTCTTTTTGTTTTAAGAGATGTAAAAATATTGCATAAACATTGAATAAACCGTAAATCCTACGTCTCTCATTGATCATAATAATTTGTTTCTGAAATTACTTATAAATGCGTCCTCGATTGATTGTAAAAAGTATTAGTGCGTTGAATGAATCGTATCGAAGCAATCCGATTCAAAAGTGATCATTGTTTTTAGTTGTATAATAAATTTTTCTAAAACAGGCGCCGATGTTTAAAGTAACAAAAATTGTAATTAGTTTCGTGCACATGGAGTCTCCAACTGCTGATAGTTAATATGCACGGAGTAAAAAGCACAATTCTATTATTTAACAGCAGAAAAGACGACCAGAAGCAATAATAGGAATTGCATACTTTTTTGTGAGACGATACGTCATCCCTAATACAGAAAATATGAAATCAGCTTAACTTTTGCATTTGTTATTCACATTTTTGCGAATGAAATTCACTTATCTGCAATTATTTATAACAAAATTCATATTAAATTTAAAAAGCGGATGACATTTTATAAATAATTATACTATCCAACAAATTTTAACTTTCTTTAGATTCTCTAATATGCAATCAGCGATCCTTGACGAATGTTACTTCCCAAACACGAATCCGAAAACAAAATTGCTGTATCATACTCAGTTTTCGCAAAATTCGAATTTTTGTAAAGACGTTCAATATTTAATGAAAATAAAATATTACGTGAAAACTAAAAAAGCTAGGAAAATCTAATTGGTCTCGAAAGATAGAGGAGAGACTCCAGAATATGTCAGTATCGATATTTTTAACATTCTATGCTTCTAGTTTAGACCAGGGCTCGCGGAATTAACCAACACGCAACATGGAGATCGCCTAAACAAATGCCGACGAACGTATTTTCTAGGCAACATATTTGCATATTTACGAAATGTTCTTCATCTCACACGTAAACTGACCACACCTTAATTCAGAAGATATGAAACAATTTCAGGATTCTATAATGCAGGTAGGTTTTAAATGGAAGATTCGGCAATGGACGACTTTAAGTGACCTCCAAATGTCAACGTATTGCCGCAGTGTTATTAATGTTGTAATATTTATATTATAACATAAATAATATATTAATATTAATATTTATAATATATATATTATATTATACAAACATGACCAAATAAGATCGAAATGGTTACGAGACGGTCATCTGACGGTGACGACATAATTGAATGATCCGTGTGCCATATCTTTACTGTGACCTCGATGGTGATAAATGATTCGAGAAAAATTTTGAATATCTAACAAAATAGGATAATACTGTTCTTACACCTTCCTCATCGCGATGCAACAAAATACGTGGGGTTCTCGTTGGCAAAGTTTATGAGACGGAAGTGACGAAAAGGCTTTTTTGAGATTAAGACCTTTCTTACATTTGGCGACCATTTGGCGATCACTTGGCAACCATTTGGGGTCCAAATTCCGTTTCCGTTTTTCTCAATAGCCACGACGTGTAATAAATCCGGTATTTCCGAAGGGTCATTCCAAACCGACCGCGAAACGATACCCGAAGCTAACGAAGAATTCCTGGAAGAATTCCCGTGACGTTGTTCAAGGCCGTCATCGACTCAGATGAAAAAGTTGAGAAAACATAATTTTTTAATTCTTTTACCGTACCAACCAGTTGCAATTTTTCCAAACAATATTTTAGCCATTGTCTAGTAAACTAATCCCTTTAATATCCCCCCAAAAAATTTGAATCGCTTGACTCAATTATGGAAAAGTTATTTCATTTTAAAAGATATACAAATACTTTGTATACCGACTGTAAATAGTTTTATCGTTGATAAAATGTGTGTTTGATCGTATATGCAGATAATTTTATTATTAATAATCATGTAAAATTATAATTTTGTTACTTACTTCTTAATTAATACGACCAAGGCATTCTCCTGTAATCAGCAAAAATGTAACACGAATTTGAATGCAATTTATAATTAATAAATTGATATATAACAAAATACGTACATAAAATTACATATTAAA